GTTTGAGTGTCAAGGATGATTATGTTATTCTTCTGAATGGTCAAAACAGATCACATCACTATACCATTAAGTGAAATGCCCGACCAATTCACAAGAATGCACACACACACACACACACACACACACACACACACACACACACACACACACACACACACACACACACACACACACACACACACACCTCAAAGCCATAACAACGCAACATACCTATAGCAAAATACCTCGAAGCCTTACATTTTTCCGTGCCTACAGTACTTGGACAAGTATAACCCACATAGATACTGTAAATATATATCAAAAACAGATCCCTTAAGGGTATACATGCATACTGTACACACACAGATACAGAGTTGTTAGCAAATGAGCCATAAACAACCCTACATTTAGCCGACAACACACCCAAGCGCCGCTCAGCCAGACACTAACTAAACTGTCAAGTTGGATTTTCTGGCTGCTCACAATCCTTTTAAGTTCTGCTCCACATATATCATTTCCTCATTTCTGGCTTAGCCCTCTAGCCTTAATTGTGCTTTGAATCAAACTGACGTAGATATTTCTTTATGTACCTCCATTTAGCACCGCTGAATCAGAAAAAGTATGTATTTCTATCTATTAGTTAGACCATTTTTTGGTCAATACATTAATACTCTTAATTTAATATTTGTTTAATATTTTTTGTGTTTTGTTGTAGTTTGACATTTTGGGAAATTTGCTTCTATTCTTTATTGAAAGAAATTAGACAAAAATGATATCATTCTCATCTCTGTTTGACCTTTAATTTACCACATTTAATTTCTGCAAACAAGTATTTTGCATGACCGAGGAGCAGTTTGTGTGCCTGCTTCATAAAGCCAAAGCGCGCGGAAACCCCTCACAGCTGACACCGACAACAACAACAATGGCCGATTGTGCTCCAGCTTCCTCTGTACCTCTTCGGAAGACTAGATTCCCAGTAGGTAGCTGGTCTCTTCAGTGGACCACTGCTGCTTGTTAAGTTTCTCCATCGTTGTGTACAAACTGGATAAAACGCCGGCTTTTTGTTGTTTTTCAGGAGTTGATCCCGCCCCTGCCCCCGCCTCGACGTAAGCGTGACGTATGTGGTGATTTTGCTCCAGCCGGACAATTTTTAGGTGCCTGAAACGAACCGGATTCAGGAGCTAAGAGGCTGCTCCGCTGTGGTGTGAACAGGAAAACCCGGTGCTTTTCAAGCTCCAGCTCCGAACCGGCCCTGAAACACCGTTGGTGTGAATGAGGTATTAGAGAATGCATGATATAAAATGAGATCATTAGGGATATATAATGTCCTTATAGTTTGACATATTAATGTGTGCTAAGGCACAATGAGCACAAGAGAGGGGCAATCAAATAGGGTAACAAAATGTAATGTGAAAATTCTGTAAAGCCTGTTAAAATGCATGCCAGGTCAAATAAAAACTGGGCCCCAAGTGACCTTGAGAAAAAGTAGACAAACAAACAACGTAACAACTTAAGTAACATCCACATACAGTGATTAGGCTGTCATGGTGACCATGATTTGTCAAGTACCACAATGTTATTCAGAGAAAGAGACTCAAGTGGAATAAACTGTTAAATGATACTCTATAACAAACCAGAAACATACACACACACACACTATCTATCACGAAAATATATTCTCCATGAAACCAAACAGATGCAAATGCTATCCGTAAATATAGATTTAAATGTAAACTAGTATTTTATTTTGAGATTCTAAAAGTGAATTCATCAAATAAATAAATAATGTACAATGTTAACTGTGTTATCAACAAAAACACATTAAAAACTCATCCAAGCAACTCAATTAAACAACCAAACATTTAGTAAACAATCAATCTCAAAAATAACCACAGACCAAAATAGATTCTAAAAAAATAATAACTTCCAGGGGTATTTAAGTTAGTTTTCCATAAAATACATAGATGTTTTTATAATTGAAAGTGTGTGGTCTTGCCTGTCAGCGTGTGTGTGTGTGTCAGATTTTGTGTGTGCCCCTGGCCCCAGCAGCTGTGCCAAAGCAGATGTTTGCAAGTGTAATTACCACAAGCTCGCAGAGAGGAAGGGAACAAAATGGACAGAGAATGAAAGAGAAACACAGACAAAGAAGAAATGATAGATACATGTCCGTGATGCAAAGAGCATTCAGCTTTCACAACGCTTGTGAAACAATTAAAGGCAAACCTGATGGTTCTTCTAAGGTAGATTCATTGACAAATTCACCTTTACATGCACAACACAACAGCTCATGATCCCAAGCCTCTCATATTGACAGACTATGGCATGTTTAACAGCCCAGTTGTCTCCCTTGCCCCTATAGGAATCCCAAAGACCCTCCAGATGTGTTACCTGTAGAACAAGGTGTGTCCATCTCTCCGGTGTGAGCCTCCCCTCGGTTCTGAAGCTGGCGGTCAGAGGAGTCTGACTGCTGGACTGGCCATAGTGCAGGTTGACCGCCTGCTCGGACACCGTCACAGAAAAAAACAACCGCTGCCTTGAGCTCTTCTCCAGCAGCATCCTGAAGGAGACACAAACACACATACATTTTAAGAAACACAATAATTTCAGCAGCAATAGACAGTCTATTTGAACATCTGTCAGTGATAAATTGTTCTAAGTAAATTCAAAAGGTAAAGACAGGGAAAAGTGGAATCTAAAACTCATGGAGTCGAGAGCCACCGCACAGTTTCACACAGTCTCTCATTCTGACATTTACATTGGAATATCAATATTTTACATGACTGCTAGGTTTGAGCTGCTACACTGGGTGCAGACACACACCCTCCACGTGTCATATTAACCACCATCGCCGACATTTTATGGGAAATCATGACTTTTATGAACCAAGAGCCACATACCCTATAAATCAAGGATAAATGTATGCATGGGGAAAAAAAGAGACCATATGTATGTATGTCTGCACATGCATGAGAGTGTGAGTATGTGCCTGTAGGTAGGGATAAAGAGATATCAAGAAGGACAGAGATAATGAGTGCAAGAAAAAAGTGAATACAAGTTGATGACTTACTAAAACACTGAAGTTATTGACTAAATTGTTTTTGTCAAGAGTTTTTGAGCTTTCATATTCACATAAAAGCTCCGATCAACTAAGCATTGTTGTTGTTGACATATCTTAAAGGTCACCTATCATGCTATTTTTAGGCAATAGCATAGGTCTCAGATACTGTATATACAAATATATAAAAAATATGTCTATGAAGTGTTTTGCTCAAAATACCAAACAGATCACCCATTCTAGCCATGCCTCATATCCCTCTATTTCACTTCCTGTTTCAAAAGTTTCAAAAGCTTTATACCCAGTGATTCTTCGTATAAAGCTTTAAAAAATATATATGTATACGGTATATTGATAAAAAAGGAGGGGCTGAGCTCATGCAGGACCCGGCAGCTACCGTCTAAAATAAATACTGCCATGATGAAACGCCATATCATGGATTATCAAGGATTATTTCTGAAACAGTATGGAGCTCAAAGGCTTTCTCTCTTGCCGGTTATACCACAGGTTAGCTCTGAGTGTTAGCGATGCTAATGTAAACACCGACCATATTACATCCAAAACAGTCGGGCATTGTTTCTGATAGCAACTTTCTGATAGGGCTGTGGGTCCACATTTCCGATATTACGTCATATCGGACGCAAATCTGGATCAGCTCCGTTGTAGCCCCGTTTTTAGAGATTTGGTTACGGTGGAAAAGAGAGAGGGTTTTATTTTCTGACGCTGCGTGAGTTCCCTGACACACCGGGGACACATATTTATGTATAAAAGACATCAAAAAGTGCAGTCCCATTTAAGTTTTTGTTTTGACCAAAAAATGTACATTTCTCCACCAAAGAAAACGAGCAAAACAGATATTTTAGAAGCTTGAACCAGAAAACTTGTGGCATCTTTGCTTAAAAAATGTATGCTTACTTGATCCATTGTAAAAATTATTCAAGCAGAAAAAGTAGTCATTATGTTGCCAGGGCAATTTAATGTGATAGTTGGGCAAAATACACATTGTTAAACACTGTTTTCAAATAAACTATGATAATTATGATATGTACTTGTACTTCATCCACATGTTCTCCATATAGAAAAGTCAACTGCATGTACTCAGAATAATTCACAATTTAAAATGAGTACCCTCAAAAAATATAGGTGTAACCTTATGGAAGTGTAGCCATGGTGAAGTAAAAACTATATTTGTAAGAACAGGTGGCTGGCTCTGTTCATTGTTCAGATGAGGAGAGGGATGTGAAATCACAGAGAGAGGGAGAGACAAAGAGAGAGGGGTGAGGAGAGATGGACAGAGGTGAGGATAGAGACCTCCTTTCATCTGGCTTCTTTGATGGCAGCCATGATCGTCTCTACAACAAAAGACTGATGGCCAACGACAGCTACAGAAAGAGAGAGAGAGAGAGAGAAGAGAGAGAGAGTGCGAGGGGGAAGATATTCCTCCATTCAGATGCATTCAGGTGCATAAAGGTGTCATGTTCAGCAAACCAAGACAACAAGACCAGTCTGTCATCTGAATCCCTACAGACAACTTCACAAACAAAATCCCAGCATGAATTTAAAAGGAGGGATTTATCTCTGTCTGAATCTCCTTCTCAGAGTTACATCTAACTGAGGCCAACATTTAAACTGAACATTCAGTGAGTTATTAGAATTCACGCCAAACCTGTTTAGCGTTGCTTTAGGTCTTTTTTCAGAACTGTCACTACTGCAAAGCTTTCAGTGACGTTAATCTTAGCAGCACATCATGGAACATGTGAATGCTGCAGGCTTTATTTACGTTGTCTAACCATTTCTGATTATATTAGGAGAAAGCCTGGGTCATTTTAGTTCATCCTTTTTATAACAACAGCCACATTAATTATACTGATTTTACACATTCAAGTCTGTTTCAAGTCTTGTGGAGTAGTACTGCAAATACTTAACTGTGTAAAATGTCAACGATCGAGTTGCATTGTGGGTAATGTAGGTCCCAGGTTTCATTAAGGGACGCATACAATTAAAACATATTAAAATCAAGTCAATTTTGATCCTTTTACTTTTTAAGTGTCCATTGTGAGTCTATCAATGTTATTGAAGCCCAGTTTTATAATTGGTGAAGTAATCTTTTGCTAGTGACATTTTCAAATAGTAAACCAGGAAATATAAACCAAGACGTCATGTATGTTTAGCTTATTTTAAGTTTCATGACAAAGCATCCCATGTTGTTTGCACAATCTACTTTAAATGTAAGTGTTTCTGTGTGCTGGAGGCGGATATGAGCTTGCCAAGTAAAGCCAACTGATCCCTGTTTGTGCATGCAGCGCTTTGTGTATGCGTGTGTTTGTGTGTGACTGCAAGCTGATCTGAGTGTGTGTAACTCTGCACCATCGGAGTCCTACCTGCAACATACCAGCACACTTTCATCCCCTGTCTCTCACACACAACATGTCTAAGTAGGACATGACAGATAGCGGTTAGTCAACATCTCCGGAAAGTGATACTGAACAGACCTGATTGCTCCTTGTGTTTAGATCAATATCACAGGACTTTCACTTCAATGCACTTTTTAAGTTTGGAAGCCATATAAGATAATATATCAGAACAGACATTTGACTATACATCACACCTACATCAGCAGAAAGCTATCATTTATCAGTCGAAGGATACGTTTGAGTTCTTACGGTGCAATAGTAATTGTGATTTATACTTGCAACACACAAGTGTTATTATTTATCTTTCTTAGTTTTTCTTTCACTAATGTTTCAAGGATTTAAATATGTATACTATATCCTCATACCAATAACGACTTAAAACGACTGAATCTGATCCCTGCACTGTTTTTTATCTATTTTATCTTTTCATTACTTAATCTTCACCCATAAAGTTCCATTTCTACAAGAAGTATAACTTCTTGATTAACTTACTGATTGAAATGCAATGGGAGATTGTTTCCAAACAGCCTCTAACAAACATGATGTTACTCTTAGTGGCTGTGCCAAATGAAACTGCAAATCCAGACTTTTTCAAAAAGATCAGAATATATCTATTGGTTTTCTATAATACTTATCCATGGCTAATATGGAATTTCATGTTTGAAAGAATCACATGTCATGGTAAGTAAAACTAGGTAACGTTCATCAGAATCTGTTTGTAATGTACTGCTGTTAAATATCTTGACTTTTTTCTTTGCACAAAATGAAATATATATATTATTTAGGGAAACAGCAAATACTTCTGCTTGTTTTGAGTTTGCTGGACTGTCCAGAGAGAAATAGTTAGTTTAGATCCATCCATCCAAAAAGGATATACATCTTTCGTATTGCCAAGTACAATTTGTGTGTACTGTAACATGACATTGGTAATCTATCGATTCAAGCAGTAAATTATTGATTTTATTAAAAGAAACGCTCATACAGTATATCCAGCTATGCAACAAAGAGATGAATGTGATTTCTTATAAATTACAAAAAGTAACTCACATCTCTCCAGAAGAGCTTGGTTTGATCCACAATGCCAGGGTGAGAGAACCCAAGTCTCCTAGTTTCTGTGAGGGGGGGGACACCAGACATCCATCCTGGACGGGCCGAAACAGCACAGAACTGGATCCACCAGGAACTCCCTCTGAACTGTTATTGGTTATGTTCTCCGTCTCTGTCCCGGGACGAGTGTCATTACTGTCTCCAGTCACACAGGAACCCCTGGAAAATAAAAATGTCATGTCAATAATCTTTTTTTCTCTAAAAGGTCCTCTTTTATTTATTTTTATTTTGCATGAACTGAAAGGTGGGAGGACATTTAAAACACCTTGATAGAATGAATTTGATCTATCTACCTGTGTGCAGGCAGTAGCAGCGGGGCATACGGAGGTGTGGAGGATCTGTAAGGACAGTCCTGGACACAGAAGGCCTGATGACATGTCGTCAGCTCAGGCTGGGAGGACGGCGTCTGACAGTAGCTGCTCCGCTCTGGAACTCCACAGGTGGAGCGGGACGGAGAGGTGGACATGGTTTTAAAGGCGGCAAGGTTCTCCATACGTGGGAAATGTCCCTAAGAATAAAAGACCATTTCAAAATTAGTATCATTCCATTCAAGCTAAGTCTCTTTTACTTACAGTATTTGTGAAGGCATTCAATTACCTGCAATACAAGGCATTTTAGCAATTTAGAGAATTAACATGAGGCCTATGGATAACATTATGATATAGCATAACACATCTTACAGGCAAATATCTTACTGTAACACACACTGTATGTACACAGTGCTATGAAAAAGGCCTTTTTGTTGGTCATCAAATAATAAATACAGTGTTAACAATTAGTATTCCAGTTTTTGATCAATACAATTCAATTCAAGCTTACCTGTGATGAAGCAGGTTTTGGACACAGGCTGAAGAGGAGGAGAGTAAACCAGAGGAAGATATTATGCCATCTTATCCTTTTCATGGTGGCTTTTCCTCTTTCTGTGATGTTTTTCAGGTAAAATGGCCAAGAAAAACCACACCACCTCTTCGTTTCCCCCAACCTTTTTTCCACTTGCTTGATTTCAGTGTTTCTGGTTAACATAACATGAGGAATACCCGACGCATTTGTCCCGTTTCGGTCCTCTCCTTCGATGTATTTTCCTCCAACTTCCTTGATGCATTTGTTCCTCTTAAAGTCAAACTGCTCCTCTCTCCTTCTTCTCTCCATCTTCTCTCGGCTGACTCCTGTGCGCCATGTTTGTCTCTTCCTTTTTGCCTTCTCTCCCGCCACTCCTCCCTCGTTGTCTCTCTGATCTATCCATCTCTGGCCTTTGACCCCACAATATTCTGGAGTGGGGTTCTCCAAGGGGCCCAGCATAGTCCGAGGTTCTCCAATCTTGGACAGGGTTTCTGGAACATTCCCCAGGGCAGAGGGATGTTCCAGAACTTGGATTTTTCTCGGAAACCTTCCAGCAGCGCTTGAATAAGTGATGACTGTCATGGTTTCATGGTTCCAGGGTTACAGGGACATTTTCTTTACAGACCAGTGCCCCTAGGGTGAGGCTACGAAGCTTAGCTCTCTGTTACACTGTCTCCGTCCCTCCCTCGCTCACACACACCCACACCCCACACACAAACCACAACCAAAGCCTTCACATGATAGGTAAGATTTCACAATCTAGAGAGGGAAAGGAGAGAAGGAGAGAAGGAAAGAGAGACGTGGTCAGACCAAAATCCAACATGAGACAAATCTGAGGAGAGTGAAATGCCATGCAGGCTATTCCCTAGCCAAAGCCTACACTATCATGTACAGCTTGATGGAGGCACAGCTCAACTGATACTGCTACATTGCTTTCCTCTTTTCTTCATTTTCCATTGAATTAAACATGCCTTTTTTTCCTCTATCATCTGGCCTCCAGGTTTTTATCCAACTGAACGGGTTTTCACATAAGTTTGTTGGAAATTGAGGCTTATGCCAAAGCTCTCTTCATTACAATACTTATCAGCTTCAATTTCACATTTTGACACACAAAAAGAGGCCAGCAGTGAAGTCATCTCTAGTGTTGAATTACTTAGACACTTCTGCCTGTCCGTTGGAAAATAAGAAAGCACGTCTTGTATCTAATAATAACAGGGGCTAGCCTATAGCCGTACAAATGTGTAAATATATGCAGATATTGTGATATGCATAAATATGTAGCTTGGCTCCTGGTGGGTTACCTGTCGGTGGAGCTTCCCAGCAGGACAGAGCTCTATTCCCATCACAGCGTCAACAAACAACTTGTTGCTCATGGTGCAAAACAAGCTAACTACCTGTTTCTCTATACACCTGTCTGTCAGCGATAGCAGACGCCGCTCCAGTAGAAAAAATAGTCCTTTCCAAACATGATTTGAGTTATTTGGTCCGTCGATCAATCCCACTTCGACAGAAAAACTGAATGACAGATCAGCTGAACTTGTCAAAGTCTCCCCTTGTTGCCTCTCTTTCGTACTTCTCTCATTCAAACATGCAGCACGCGGTGTTAAGGAGATTACTGCGAGTCGCCATCTGGCCAGCAGCGCTGGAGGCGGCAGGATACTGGGCGCAAAGTAAGTAACGGTGAGGCGGCGTTACTGAGTTGAGAGCCAGGTAACGGGAACTTGAGAGCCCAGGGGACGGCGGGAGAGAAAACACTGCGACATATCCGTTTTGCATCTCTTACAGACCACTAACGAAGTGTCTATGACAGCAAGGCATTAACATGCAATTTACAAAGCTTAATAATACCCCCTGCCTGGCAGTAATGCTGTACCCCCTCCTACGTGGGATGCGTCTGGGTTTCAGACAAGTGGCTCTCAGAGAAATGAGGAACGCTACTGCCGTTGCTAGGCGACGGTGATCGTCTCCGGCCAAAGACAGTGTGAGGAGGAGATCATAAAATATCTGTCAATACAAAATTAAAAAAGAAATAGGCTACTTCATCGCCATGTAGGGGTGCAATGTAATTTCACTGAAGACAGTGCTTTTAACACATATTATGCAAGACTGTCCAATACGTGTTTTAATAATCTGCACTTTAAAGTAATGGAGCTAAACCAACTCCAAATAAAGCTTCGTAGCCTATTTTGTTTTATTGTTTTATTAAGCTTGTATAAGCAAGAGAGAGTAATTAAGAAACAAGAATCTTTTTAGCACCGATGAACCAAGGGAACCATTTGCATAAAACAAGAAGAAAAAAAATGATAACATTGAGAAACAAAAACCCATTTCACAGCACAAAACCAAGGGAAATGAAATGCATTGTGTTTTTTTCTACAAAACAAAAAATATATAAATTGTCAAAGGGGGAATGTGCAGCTGAACTGAAATCAAGTCAAACCTTAGCTCAGTATACTGATGGCCCCTGTAGGCCAGGCTGCTGAAACAAACAGTCACACATAGCTGAAATGAAAGACGCTCATTTTAAAGAATATTTCAAAGGGGGTACTTTACTATGCAGGATTTCCATAATGAGAACCAAATGAGCTGGCAAGGTGTCTTTCCTTGTCAGCAGTTTAATGGCAGTCACCAGGGAGGCACTGCTATGTGTGCTATTAATTGGGTCTTGATAACAATTAACCACACATTACTAATTACAGTACATGTCTGTGAAGAGATGTATGTTGAAGTGACACAACTATAAATGGTAGGCCTTGCGTTATGGTTGATGCTTATTTTTTAAATATATTAGTCTGAATTTAGCTGTTTGTGTGAAAATCATATAATCAAATGCCTTTACAAAAATTATGTATATAACCATTACATCTCATGCGTCTTATATACTTGACCAGACCTTTATTTCTTTGTTTTTACTTTCAAGCAAAAATCTGGTAACCTAAGCCAGTTACATGCATCAATCTTTTCATCAAGCTGAACATCCGGTAGCACAATATAAACAATCCCATCAACACACACAAAGCAGAAGCACTAGCTCAAGTATACAGTCGTTTAGACTTCCACTGTGTGCTTAAGCGCTCAGAATTTAAATTGTGTAAACATTTCCACCAAAGAAGGCCCTCTCTTATATTTTTCCCTGCCGACAAGTTTTAACGTTATCATACTAATCGCGTTTGAACAGCTGCAATTTGCTTTGGTTGAACAAAGGCATCTAACTAGGTTTTAATTAAGTGTTCCTAATGACCTTAAGGAGATTAGAGGTTCGCCTTCTAATCAATACTAGGCAGAGAGGAGCAAAGGGAGGGGAGAGGAGGAGAGGGGAGGTGGCTAGGGGCTAGGATAGAGGTAGGGAAGACAGAGGTGGAGAAGGGGAGTAATAGTAAAAGAAAACTAGGGGAGGAGAGAAGAGGAAGTGGATTAAGAATAAAAAGGATTTGATCAGAAATATTGTTAAAAAATAAATATACAAGAACCTTATACATATTCATTTGAAAAAGAATACAAATAAGTAATGAGTGCAGATTGTGACCGGGCTTTCTTCAGTGGCTAACAACATTAGTATATTTTAAATGCTTGTAGGCATCAATAAAACAAGCAAGTGATGGAGAGGGGCAGTCCAGCTCTACAAAAGCAAATAATTCACATATACAACTAGATAAAGAAGTTTGTAACCCTGCCTTTTTGTATTAGAAGCCACATTTTCCTCATTTTATTTCCTTTCCTTTCCTCTGAGAGGGTGAAAATGACATCGCTCCACTGTGTCAGATAGAGGCTATGATCATCAAGAGCTTTTGTTATCCAAGAAGAGTTTCTCTTATCCCCTCCTCATAAGACATTTGCATAGATTTGCACAGAGTGTGTCCACATGACAGAGAATCTAGTCATACATTGATTGTACTAATTTATTCAGCCGGGCACATTCAATTCCAGAGATTGAAGTGCTATCACACAAACGGGATTAAAACCGGATGACGATCGCACAATTAATATTGTCTCATTTTCTAAATTACTTATGTATGACTTATATTTGACTAAATTGTGTTTGCTGGTCTAATAACATTAAGGGTAATATGGTAAATGTGGGCTGTAAATGTATTGTCTCTGTGAGTCTCCAGAGCAGCATGAATATGTATGGAGACATCCTTGGCCTCGCTGCTGATTACAAGAAGTGGAATAAATTGATGTTAAGGCTGTGTGTTTTTTAGCAAAATACAATATTAGGTTCTCCATATGGAAATGTTATACACACATGCACACATGCACACATGCACGCATGCACACACACACACACACACACACACACACACACACACACACACACACATACATTTTTTTAGGCCTGATTCAAGACCATTACTTAAATAACAGCATAGTGTTGAGTGCAGGCTCGTGGCTGCCATTGGTTTCAGTTTTCTTTGTGTGTTTGTGAAGTAAATTAGCACGTTTACATACTGTATGTGCATGAGGCTTAACGTGAATCGTGGAGCTTTTGTCTAAATTAAAACAAACGTTTTGTCTTTATTCAGTTTTTTTCACCAAAATGTATTGTATATACCCTGAGGTCAAATACACCTTACTGTAATACATGCTCTAACATATTCTGTACATTGTTCTAGATTTAAATATATTAAATATATGGAATATTTCTCATTCATTTCAGAACTTAGTTTCAAGTAAAACAATGGAGGAAAAAAGTTTTTTCTTTTCCACACACTGAGTGTGATAAAGTCAATTAGTTGATTTAACTCGATTCCAGTTTGCGATTGGCATTGAGTATGAAGTTTAATTTAAAAACAAAACCATAATCTTCAAATTATATTTCCTTGATTTGTTTCTTACTTATGTATGTGCTTGTATATTTCAGCTTTTTAAAAAAAAACATAATAGTGTATCATGATATCTGGATATATGATTTAATCTCGATACAATTCCAAGGCATAAATTATCATAATGCCGGCTCACAAAAAAAAGGAGTTTTACCCTGCAAAAGTTATATTAATACTGTATTCAGTATCCAGGCCTTATGCCCTGTAGGCCATGATACTAATAAAGAGAACCACATGACTGAAATCTGAAACACTTCGGCAGCGCTTTAGGATCCAGCATCACTATGACTGCTCGAAACATTCCCTTAACTTCCTTTTTCACACAAAAACTGGAATAGGCAATATTTCTCACATCTGTCTTCATACTGTATAGTCTATTGTTCAAATTTAATTTACACTAGCTTGCATCAAATATGCATAAACATCAAATCTCACAAACACTGAAGCAAAATGCTTAATTGGCAACTGCTGACTGAAGACGTACACTGCTGTGCTGGTGTAAGGTTTATTTAGGCTATCTCTTCCATTTTTCTCTGCCACTTGCGTCATCCTGCTGTCTAAACTCTATTTTGGTCACTTCTGTCCTCCACTCTCTCCCACACATCCCTCTCTCCACAGGCACCACTCATTCTTTCTTTCATTCACTCTATTCCCTTCTCCCCTCCCCATGCCCTCAATCCCTCTTACTGTCCTCCATCACTGCTCCTCTCTAAATGTCCTTTTCTTTCTTGTCCTTGTTTTATGCAGCATTTTATATAA